GGACCGCACCACAGCAGAGGTTTCTGGTTCCTCAGTTGCAGCTCTCTCATCCTGAATGATTGGGTCAGAGCATCCTTCCTCTTGTGAAACACCCATCCATCAGATCTCAGCATCTTAAAGATGGGATGACTCTTCCCTCACAGAAGGATCACAAGGACTGGCTCCTCTGAGCCAGTCAGGGTGCAGTGTAGCACCGACGAAACACACAACTTTCCTCTAGTTCTTTTTTTTTAAATCATTTTATTAGGGGCTCATACAACTCTTATCACAATCCATACATACATCAATTGTGTAAAGCACATTTGTACATTCATTGCCCTCATCATATTCAAAACATTTCCTCTCCACTTAAGCCCCCGGTATCAGGTCCTCATTTTTCCCCTCCCTCCCCGCTCCCCACTCCCTCATGAGCCCTTGATAATTTATAAATTATTATTTTGTCATAACTTTCCCTGCCGACGTCTCCCTTAACCCACTTTTCTGTCCTCTAGTTCTTTAATGCTTCCTGTCCCGTACTAACTCCCCTCCCGTCCCCCTATCATGATCCCAATTCTACCTTACAATTCCGGCTAGACCAGAGCATGTACACGGGTACAGATAGGAACTGGAAACAGGGAATCCAGGACAGATAAATCCCTTAGGACCAATAATGAGAGTAGCGATACCAGGAGGGTAGGGGTAAGGTGGGGGGAGAAAGCCGGAACTGATCACAAGGGTCTGCACATAACCCCCTCCCAGGGGGACGGGCAACAGAAAAGTGGGTGAAAGGAGACAGCGGATGATGTAAGATATGAAAACAATAAAATTTTTAATTTATCAAGGGTTCAGAAGGGAGGGAGGGGAGGCAGAAAGTGGGGAAAATGAGGAGCTGATACCAAAGGCTCAAGTAGGAAGAAAATGGTTTGAAAATGATGATGGCAACATATGCACAAAAGTGCTTGACACAATGGCTGGCTGGCTGGATTGTGATAAGAGCTGTAAGTGCCCCCATATTTTCTAAAATATCGGATGATGCAGCAGGGGCTTCGACTGAGGTGTCTGTTTGCCCTGGCACTGGGAGCAGATGTGCTAAGCAAAGGAATGAGACAACTGGACTGCTCTGAGTAAATCAGTTTGTTGCCTTAAAAAAAAGAAAAAGATTTTCAAAGTTCTTAAGTCCATTTAGGATGTCCTGGTGGTATAGGAAGGCCCTTAAGGAGATTGAGGGATTGACACGGTAGAACAGGGTGGCCCTATGGGCAGGGTAGAACTGGCCCTGTGAATTTCTGAAGCTACTACTCTTTATGGGAGTAGAAACCTCCATCTTTCTCCCTTGGATCAGCTGGTGGTCTCAAACTGCTGACCTCAGGGGTTGCAGCCCAACGCACAACCACTATGCCACCAAAGCTCCTTAGGTGCTGTCAAGACGGTTTCAGCCTACAGTGACCCTATGTGCCACAGAACAAAACACGGCCCAGTCCTGCCCCATCCTCCCAAGTATTCTTGCACTGGCCCTGCTGCTGCAGCCTGTGCGCCAATCCATCTCATCCAGGGGCTTCCTCTCTTCAGCTGCCCTTCTACTTTACTGAGCACAGTGTCCTTTGTCAGGGTCTGGTCGCTCCTGGTAACACGTCCAGAGTCCTTGAGACACAGTCTGGCCACCCTTGCTTCTAAGGAGCATTTTGGCTGTACTTCTAAGACAGATTGATTTGTCCTTTCGGCGGTCCACGGCACATTCAGTATTCCTCGCCACACCATAATTCAAATGCATGATTCTTCTTTGCTTTTTTTCTTATTCCATGTGCAACTTTCACACGCACAGGAGGCGATTGAAAATAGCGTGGCGTGGGTCCGGCGCACCTTAGTTCTTACAGTGACATATTTGCTTGTCACCACTTTAAAAAGACCTTGTGCAGCAGATTGACCCCATGCAATGCCTCACAGGATTTCCGGACGGCGGCTTCCACGGCACTGATGGGGACCAAGCCAGATGAAATCCTTGACAACGTCAGCCTTCTCTGTTTGTCATGCTGTTACCGATCGGCCCGTGGTGAGGATTTGGGTCTCTTTTACATGGAGTTGCAGTCCACACTGAAGGCTGCAATCCTTGATCTTCATCAGCAAGTGCTTCACGTCCTCCTCACTGTCAGCAAGCACAGTTGGGTCTTCTGCATATCAAAGATTGTTACTAAGCTTCCCTCCAATCCGATGCCTGTTCTTCTTAGACAGCCCAGCATTTTGGAGTGTTTGCTCAGCACACAGATTGGATACGTATGGTGAGAAGCTGCAACCCGACACTCACCTTTCATGATTTTAAGCCATGTAGTATTGCCTGGTCCTGTTCGAATGACTGCCCCTTCATCCATGTCCAGGTTCCACCTGTGCACAATGAAGCGTTCTTGTAATCGTATGTTTCTCATTCTATGAGATGGAAATTGAAGCAAAGAGAGATTAATAGCTGGCTTTCCCTCTCTTTTCAGTTACTCACTTGGGGGTGAGGAAGGAAGATGGGAAGTGAGTTGCCATGTTCTGCAACCACTTAAAGTAGTGGTTCTTGACCTCTGGGTCGTGACCCCCTTGGGGGGTCAAACAACCCTTTCACAGGGGTCGCCCGATTCATAACAGTAGCACAATGACAGTTAAGAAGTAGCAATGAAAATAATTTTATGGTTGGGTGTCACCACCACATGAGGAACTGTCTTAAAGAATAACAACATTAGGAAGGTTGAGAACCACTAACTTAAGGGATCCTAGAGAAAATCACGTGGTAAGTAACTAAGGCCTCCTGCCTCCTGCGGTGGGAGGCAGCCCTCTTGGAAACAGTGTGGTCCTGAGGTTGACTATCACCTCATGAGACCCTAACCCTGAACCAGCCTGCTAAGCTGCTCCTGGATTGCGGGCCTTCAAACACAGGGCGATGGTCACGGTGGTTTGAAGGTGCCGAGTGTCCAGGTCCTTTGTCACCCAGCAAGAGATAAGGAAGACAGGAGGCTTGCACAAGGCTGAATTGTGGGAAGTTTACTACCACAAAGTAATCAAACTTGTTATTTTAACTTATTTTCTTCTTCTTCCCTTTTTGGCAATTGAGGCATTTTCATTCCTGGGGTCTTTCTCCCCCTGCCCTGCCCTCGTCCAGTCTGAAGAAGTCGTGGGGTGCTTTGTGTCTTTGTTTTCCTGTCTTGGGTTCTATAAAGTCTACACCAATCACCTAGCAGTCGAAGAGTTGGTTGGAGGCCTGTCAGGCTTTCGCTATTCTATACCTGACAGCCTGGAGCTGGGACCAGAGGCTTGGCAGTTCTAGGATCCGACTGTCTGCATTCCCGTCCTGTTCTGTCCCCTGCCACCTTGGTATGACCTTGGGCAAAATATCAAAATCTTGGGCTTTCGTTGCCTTCCTTTAAATTGGAGAGGCTACTTAACACACCCACTTTGCAGATTCCTGGGTAGATGAAGCCAAGAAGCGGCAGCTGTGATCCACTGGCCGACTTCCTGAAGTAGATTCAGGCCATTCGTCCTAGTCCATCTGAGTCTGGAAGCTCTGCCGGAACCTGTTCGGCATCACAGCAACACCCAAGCCTCTCCGGAGAGACAGTTGGTAGCTGCGCTCAAAGTCCATTGGTCTGGATTCGAACCAGGTTCTCTTGCATGGAAAGCAAGACCTACCACCACAGAGCACCACTGCCCCTATAGCTGGCTAGATCTGTGCTACTTATATCCGTGCCTCACAACCGCCTGAGAGGTGAGCACCCCAAATCATCCAAGCTCCAGCTCAGAGCAACCCTGTGGACAGGACAGCCTTGGAAACCCTGGGCGGCAGTTCTACTCTGTGCTACAGTCGGATGAGTCACTAAGCACGAGAGGTAAGCAGGAGGGGATTAATCCTCCCCCACTTGCAGGTGAACCAAATAAGCCGCACACCTACTAGGCGGCAGGGCGTTAAGATTCCAACCCGGTTACGTGCCGCCAGGTGCACCCCGCGCTTCCGGTCTCTCCATTTTGAGTTTGGACCTGGTGAGATTCTTGAGTCTTAATGATGCAGGCCAATCTCCAGCTCCTCAAAGACCCTCGCCATACTAGTGCCAACAGCTGTGAAGGCCCCGCCGACGCATGGCGGCCCCATGGGTGTCCGGGTGGAACTGTGCTCCACAGCCTTGTCAACAGCTGTCAACTTTACAGAACTAGAGCCCCAGGCCTTTCTTCCGAGGCACTTCCGGATGGGTTTGACTCTCCAACCTTTCTGCTAGCCATTGAGTGCACGAGCTGTTTGGACCACCCAGGGACCCCACAGCCTCTGCCCTGTGCCCTCTGCGGTCACCACAGGCTTCTTCTGACAGGTTGCCAGGAGCGGACGGACAGTGTGGCCCCTGGATCTGAGTCCACTGGGCTGCACTGGGAAGGGGGTGGAGGAGTCTGCGGGATCTTGGCTTAAGCCAGGGTGAGGCAGGCTGCTTTATGTTGGTATAAAAACCCAGTCTTGTGCGATGGAAACTCTCCCTCTTGTCCTCTGCTCTCGGGCCCCTGTTGACAGAGACCGGCTTGCTAATTCTGGAGGGGGGTTTCCCTCCTGGCCTGTTTTTCTCTTTGATCTTCTCATTGGAAGCGAGCCCCTCTGCCTTTCAAACCGTTTCGGGGTTGTGTGTGTGTGTGTGCACGCGTATGTCTCTCTCTCTCTCTCTCACATCATTCTGTAGGTCTTTTCCCAGATCTGTATTTTCTCTTAGGTTCACTTCGAGCTTGTTGAAATTTCCGCCCATGTGACTTCCAGTGTGAGTTACCAGAAACCACAAGAGAGAGAGCGAGAGCGAGCCCCAAAGCGAGCGACATGTCACTGTGGGGGGCAGTGCTTCTACACCCCGGAGTGAGGAGGACACAGGGGTCCCAGGTGGCTGCGGGGCAGACCGAGGAGGGACCTGTGCTATTGCTGGGGTACTGGCCCCGCGGGCAGCCAGGCAGCAAAGCCAGCTGGTGACAAGAAGACCCAGAGACACCTGGGCCTGTGTGTGAGAGCCCGGAAGATCTCAGGATGCCTCACAGCTCCGACAGCAGCGACTCCAGTTTCAGCCGCTCTCCTCTCCCTGGCAAACAGGTAGCATCCTTCTTCTCCCTCCTGCCTTCTGAGTCCCCCTGGTGGGAGGCGGGCAGGGTGTGTGTGTAGAGAATGAGGAACCCGAGGAGTGAGGAAATGGCTCGTGACACCAGCTCCCTGTTAGACTTCAGACATGGTGTTTGCAATGCAATGGTGACTATGGGCAGAGATCCCTGTCCTTCCACCCATTCTGCCAAAGTCCCTTGGGGGTCCCCTCATCCTCGCCCCACCATGCTCCCCACCCCAAGAAGCTTTCGAGGGAGCCCAGAAGAAAAGGAGCATCAACAGGCTCTGGTTTCTCCGGGGAGAGGGGCTAGCTTTTCCAAGGCCGACGAGAGGAGGACCATGGAGCTGGGAGACTGGCAGATGCCACCCAGATTGCAGACAGGCCGCTCCCCAGGAGAGAGTCACTGCGGCCAGAGCCACAGGGGTCCCTCCAGAGCCTTTTTAACCAATTGGAAACAAGTTAGAGGGAGCTGTGGGGTGCTGCCCCGCTGGGGTGTGGGGGCCACCGCTAGAACCTGCCCCCCATAGGGTTTCTGAACATAAACCAGAAAGTAGTCCACACACTAGCTGGAGACATTCCCAGGCCCGGGGGAGCCCAGAGTGAGCAGCGTAGGGCTCAGAAAGGCAGGTGTTGCCTGGATGGTGCCTTTGGCTCAAAAGGGTTCTGCTGAGGACTGTCCCCAGAGGGGTCACCCTGCCTGGCACCCAGATCTGAGGCTTTCTCTTCACATCCCTCTTTGGCACCCCTCTCCAGAGGAAAGCCTCCTCTTTCTCATCCCAAACCCCAGTGCCTTAAAATCGTTCCCTCTCAGACAACTGTCTTCTCCCCACGGAAGAGCGACTGCCCCAACCCGGCCACAGGAACGTAGACTCGCAGCTGTCATGAATATCTACTAGGAGGCCAGCGGGCAGGGGACCCCTAGAGGGCGCTCCACACAGCCGAGATGCCATCCGAGCCGCTCGGACTGCCTGGAAATCGGCATTCTTCTCGGGAAGGAAATTGCTTGTGGCTTTCTTGGTAGTATGGTTCCCGGGCCCCTCAGAGCGCCAGCTTTCTTTCTAAGCCTTGTCCACCTGCTGCAATGGCCTGGGAGTGTGGGGCATGCTGGGGGAATTCGGGGTCTTGCTCTGGCAGCTGCACCCCTCTGTGTGAGGAGGGGGTGAGGGAGGCAGGGAGTGGGGTCTGGCTACAGATGAGCTTCTCGCAGACCCCTACCCTTGTCAGCAGCATGGGGCATGGCCCAAACTCTCGGCCTAGGCAGAGGACACACACGCCTGTGGGGTGGACTGAGAGGAACTCTGGAAGACCTCTCTGTTCTCCCAAGCACTGCCTCCCAGAGCCAGGAAGTCTCCCTCAGGAAAGTTATTCTACTTGATGTGGACACCCAGTGTGCACTCCGCATGTGTCAGGGACTAAGGACTCTGGGGAATGGGAACTGGGGTACGGATGGCTGCAGGGAAGGAAGAGGCAGCTCTGTGGTGGGACCTCAGCCCAGAGACGCAGCCAAAGACTCCATGGATGCTAACCAGCGAGGAGGCCGCTCGTGCTGAAGACTGCAAGGAGTGCCAGCCAGAGAGACAACTGAGCAGGGGGGTGTCTTAGAAGGGCCCCTGATGTAGCATCAGATGATAGAATTCTCTGTCTCTCGCCCTTCCACGACCCTTCCACTCCACATCCTCTCACCCCAGACACACACGCACGCACGCATGCATGCTCACCCAGGTAGGGGTGTCTTAGAAGGGCCCCTGGTGTCTCTGTCCCTCGCCCTTCCACGACCCTTCCACTCCACATTCTCTCACCCCATACATGCACGCGTGCTCACCCAGGCAGCATCCCAGCTGTGGTCCAAGGGCAGTTGGATGGTGAGCGGCACAGGCTGATGCTCAAGAGGAAGAATGTGCCCGCTCTCATCTGACCCGGGACGCTAAACAGGGTCAGGGCCGGCTTAGTAGTTGGATAGGAGATGCAATTTCCAGATTGCTCTAAGTTGGCATGGGCAGGCTCTGTGCGACATAGTTTCCTTACATCTAAAATGGGGAAAATAACACCAACTTCCAGGATCAGAGAATTAAACAAGAGCCCCTCGGTTGCCCAGAAGCTGGTGCGGGCGGTGGTCATCAAAGGTCCCCCCAAAGCCTCCAGAAGGCTCTGGGTCAGGCAGTAAGAAGATAGGGGGAAGGAGGTGGAGATCGGCGCCCGAAGAAGAGAAGGCGCCATCAAATACATTTCAGTACCTTCCCCACATTTGCATAAATACAGCCTCCCTGAGAGCTGGAGGTCTCTTGCCCTCTTGCCCTGTTCTTATAGCTTTTGGTCAAACCACTTGCTGAGCCCTGAGGACCTGGGGACCCCGTCTGGGGGCAGAGCCGTTGGGTGGATGGAGAGATGGAGGGAGGGGAGGCGGGGAGGGGGCACGGAGGGATGGGTGAACAGTCACCACCGAGAGATCCTGGTTTCCTCGGGGAGAGAGGCCCACCCTCATCACATTCTCCTGGTCTCTGCCGCCCAGGGCTCATCAGACGATGTGAGAAAAGTTCAGAGAAGGGAAAAAAATCGCATCGCTGCCCAGAAGAGCCGACAGAGGCAGACACAGAAAGCAGACACCCTGCACCTGGTGAGTGTTGACACGTTCCTTCATCCTCTCGAGCCTGTGCTGCCTGCCAGCCACCCATCTGCCCATAGCACGATTCTGCCCTGTGAGCGTGCGGGTGGCGAGAGGCGTTGGGGGGGTGAGGGTTATGGAGGCGAGGGGTGGTGACGGGAAGCACCCCCATGATGATATCGAGAAGATCCTAGAGCAGGGGATGGACCAGAAGGCTGAACTCCATTCTGCCCCTTCCCCAAGAGGAGTTGGACGTGGGGAGTCCACAGCTGGGGAGAAGGTAGAGCCAGCGAGGGCAGACCGAGGGGTGCAGAGCGCAGAAGGCAGAACTCTCTGGGGAGGAATCGCAGTGCCCCAGAGGGTTGGGGACGTGGAGGGAGGACAGGATCCCACACTGCTGGACCGTATGTTTCCACACCTGGGAGGGTGGTTCTGCAACCACCTGCGTTTTGCGTTTAGGACCAGATGGTCTACGTCACTCTGTGCCTTGTTTTCCTTTCTTGGGCATCATTGAAGTTTTATTTTGATACTTCTGTCCTTATTAATATCCCAAGGGAGTAAGATACCGTGTCAAGTGCGCTTAACCTGGGATGGTCACCATCACGGCTGACACTCGCCAGAGAAGGCCGTGTCCCTGGACTTGCAAAGGGTGGACCGGTCCTCCTCCAAAGTCCTCACTGGTGTTTCTGCGTTGTGGGCTTCATTACGCAGCGCTTCCCCCTGGGCGCCCAGACTGTTCACTTTCTCCTCTTCTTCAGTCTGGCCCCTCCTCTGGGTCTTGCTCACTGCTCACTTCCTCTCCCATCCCCTTATCCCCTCCCCTTGTCCCCTCCCTTGGTAACTCCACCCTCCCGTCGTCTTTCCTTCAGAAACTTCTCACACTGCTCAAACTCATACCAAACTCATCGCCATCAAGTCCCTGCTGAGTCACAGCCACTCTATAGGACGCAAGGGTGGGGGGGGGGAGAACTGTCCCGGGAAGTTTCAAGACCCTAACTACACGTGGAAGTACACAGCCCAGTACTTTCAAATGGCTGGCCTTGCCTTTGCAGCTCAAAGTGTAACCCACTATGCCAGCAAGGCCCCTCGCACTCCCTCATTGCCACCGAGTCGATGCCAGCTCACGGCGACCCTCTAAGCAGGGCAGAGCTGCCCTGTGCGTCCCGGAGGCTGTAATTCTTCACAGAAGTAGAAAGCCTTGTCTTGCTCCTACTCTCATCCCAGTAATTGATTTCAATCATCAAAAGGCAGCTTTGCTATAAAAGCACAATTGGAACCAAGAATGAATAGCTTGGGCTTAGATGAAAGAATAAGAGAGCAATCAGTGAGCAGCTTAACCTTAGAAAGAATAAATAAGATCAAGTGTTAGGAAAAAGGGGTTATTCTCTAGAAACCCCAAACATTTAGATTTTATAAGGAAAGAGCAGGCTGCACCTACACTTTGGATGGGCAATTGTGTTTTATTTGAAATGTATTCAGGATTTGCCCCCACTGCCCACCAACATAGTTTTGAAGTTCCTAAATATTTGTTGAATTGTAAAAAAAAAGAATGAGGGCACAGGAAATCTGTACCTGTCTCTGCCAGCTGGTGTATTTGAGATGCTGGTACATATGAGGGGGCTTCAAATATTCATGGAAAATTCTATCTTTCCATTCCATTTTCCCAGGAGCTTTTTTGCAGCCCCCTCATGAATGAGAAATTCTCTGCAATTTCATTGTGACTGAGGGTCTCACTACGCTCCAATTTTTTCCTGTTTTAAGCTTAAAAGTCTACAATCACTCACTTTGTCCCTGATTCTGATTTCATATTCTGTAGAGGAAACAAACAAATGCTTAAAAGTTAAACAAACAAAGAGCTGTTTTCATCCAGGCAGACAACGTTCTGAGACTGACAAGCTGTTACAGATAGTAGCAGCTGAGTATAGCTCTCCAGCTTTATGGTCAAACGGGTCTTGAATCTTACCTCTGTAGTTTGCGCTCTATGGGTCCGACCTTAGAAATGTTCTCAGTCTCTCTTAGACTCCATGTGCTTATCTGCAAATGGGAAATGACCATAACTAGCTGGCATAATGGATAATGCTTTGGGTTGCTAAACCCAAGGTCAACAGATCAAAACCACCAACTGCTCCATGAAAGGAATATGAACCTTCCTATTCCCACAAAGATTTATAATCTCAAAGTCCGCAGGGGCAGCCCTACCCTGCCCTGTAGGGTTGCTGTGAGTCTCAATCAACTCAATGGCAGCCAGTGAGTTGACCTCAGAGAGAGAGCATATATAGAGCTTGTGGAAAGCTAGTATATAATTAATTCTTTAACAACGTCTACTAAAAAAAACCCACTGATTCCATTTTGACTCATCACAACACTCTATGGGGCTTCTGAGGCTGTACCTTTCCACCTGAGCAGACAGCCTCACCTTTCCCTGCTGAGTGGGAACTAGGTGTGAGCTGCCGACCTTGCAGTTACCAGTTCAATGTTGACCCTACAGGGCTTCCTTGTTTTGAGACTCAAGATAAATAATTACAACTAAGGTAGCGTGTGTATGTACATGTTATTTTAAATCCTAGAATCCGCTTTGAAAGACTCCTTACAGGTTGGAAAGTTCAGGCACAGTGTACCTGATCACCGGTAGTGATGGAAAGCTCTTTCCCCCAAACATATGGACAGAGGAGTGCTCCCTATCTTGAGCTACACATTGGTCTCCCTGGCAATTTGGGCCTTCATTCAACCCCTTAAAGACACAGGGATGTCGGGAAGGACATACTGATGGGCGTGGCCAGGCTTTGAATTCTAACTCAGCCTTCTCTCTAAGAGCAGAGTCAGAACCCAAAGGTTCTGACTGCCATAGTCATGGCTGCACTGGGATTCTCTGTGGAGTCTGGGAGGCCATGGAGCCCCAAGTCACAGTGATCACTGCCCCCTCCCCCACAGCCTTAGTCTCTAGAGCAATGGTTCTCAACCTTCCTAATGCCGCGACCCTTTAATACAATTCCTCATGTTGTGGTGACCCCAACCATAAAATTATTTTTGTAGCTACTTCATAACTGTCATTGTGCTACTGTTATGAATCGTCATGTGAATATCTGATAAGCAGGATATATTTTCATTGTTACAAATTGAGCATAAAGCATAGTGACTCATCACAAAAGCAATATGGCATATATTGTGAAATATTTATTTCTAATGACAGATAAATGAAATTTTGTCTCAAAGCATGGTGTAGCATGGGTAACAGTCTTCACGCCGGGTACTGGTGGGTGGACGTATCTGCATGTGGGTGGACCCGCCTGGAGTCAGATAGAGGAGTGGTGTCTCGGTTCCTAAGACCCTCGGAAATACGTGTTTTCCATATTTCTGATGGTCGTGGCAACCCCTGTGAAAGGGTCGTTCGACCCCCAAAGGGGTCGCGACCCACAGGTTGAGAACTGCTTCTCTAGACTGTTCCCAGCCTCACCTTACCTGAATACAAATGGGCTCATCCCCACCACCTTGCTTTTGAGGACCATCGGATCAGTCTCTCTCTCTCTGGCCAGCGAACGGGCCACGTCAGAGTTTACACATCCAGCTGGAGGATCGTACTCAATGGGACACATCCAGCTGGAGGATCGTACTCAATGGGACACTCGTCCTTGGCTTTGGCAGAAGCTCTTGGCAGCAGCATGTGCATCAGCTGCCACCTGACAGAGCGTTCGGCTGCCGTCTGAAATGTCCGTCTCCTCTCAGGTGATCATCTCCTGTTAGCTCCGTCCATCCCAACCTTGCTGATGCTTGCGACTCAGGGAGAAAATGTTCTGGTTCACCAAGCTGAGGGCCTTGGCTTGTTTGTCCTTGACGCCTCGGCTTGTGGCCGTCCTCCCGCCTCAGACACAGCTGGACGGCTCCTCCCACGGGGCTTGGAACTTGGCTTCAGAGAGGCTGTCAAAAGTATGGTCTCAAATGAGGACCATCTTGTCACCTCATATGCTGGGGCAAAGAGAGGCTCTCAGTTTCCTCTCTTGTCACTCTCACCTGTCTTAAAATAGCCAACCTAGTTGCCTTCTTTCTGCAGTGAGAGTGAGAATGTGAGATGCTTGCTCCCTAAAGGTTTCAGTGTCTGTCCCCTAAGTGACTTGCACCAAATGCCGTAAATTGCTTTTACAATGGAAGATTAGGGAGGGAGCCTATGGGAGTATTATGTTTAACCTCATCACAGTGTTAAACCAGCCCCCACCTGGCACAATCCTCATATCAACCGGCTCATGCGCGATTCTTCTCCTAATTGTAATACCAATGAACTGAGTCCACAATCCATTTAAATTCTTCTTGGTTGGGCCTTCCACACAAGTACTTATGACACGTAGTTGCTTTTCTCCTGAAGACAACTAAGGGGGCTATTAGACCATTGATTAAAAAGGAGGAAGGCATACCATGACTAGTTAGTGTCTAAAAGAGATCCGTAGCTAATAAATGGATCCAAAGTAGTTTAAGAACACAGAAAAGATTAGAAAATTAATTATAAAATTTCAGATTAATATTAAAAGATAAAAAGTTTCCTATATGTAAACCATAACCAATTAGAAATTAATGGAAGGAAAGATTCCATGTAGACTAGCCATGGCAGCAAAACGATAGCAGCAGCCAATGGGAAGAAGAAGCTCATATAATAAAAAACATGCAGCTCGGATTTTTTTAAACTTGAAAATTATCATAAGTGACTGAAAGACCTAAATAAATGACAAAAATAGTAAGTTTCTTTTAATTAACCTTTGCATTTAATCAAATCCCAATAGAAACCCAGTAGGAAATTTCTGGGAGTTGGGAGGAACTAGATTAGCTATTATAAGCTTCCATAGAAAAAAGAACTTTATGTAAAAATTGTAATAAAAATTCTTAAAGAGGAGTGAAGATTAAATGAACATGGTATTCACATAAATTACAAACATGAAAATAAAAACAAGTTGTACATTGAACAGAATAGAATATAAAAATGTATGCAAATATAAATTCAAAATTTTAGACCCAAACATATATCA